AGGTATTATTATTAAATGAAGGATTAAAAACATCTTTTTTTAATAATATTAATTACTTACAAAACAAATACAAAAATGATTCTTCAATATAATTACAGAAAACTTTTTTTTTTTTCAATTTCAGTTTTCTGCAGATTCTCTGAAAACAGTATCTTAAAGAATTCAATTTCAAATGCATCCTCCTAGTCTCCAATATGATTCTTTTGTATACTCCTTAATTATAATCTACTGAGTCCTTCACCTGGCATTGTTAAACTTAGTCAGGTTGTGGCATATGGAAGACAGAGAATGGCTGCTCGACACTACAAGGGATGATTGGTAAAATAAGATATGTAAATAAATATTTTAGTGATTGTCTGTGGTGAAATGATCTATAGGTATCTTACCATTATAGACAATCAGTTCACAGTGAAGATCAAAACAGGATTTGTCTCTTAAAAATCATTTAAAGAGACCGTTCTGCTGCTGTCCGTTGGAGGTTGGCCACCCTTCTTCCAAGCATTTGAACCAGACTTACAGTTACAATGTGGTTAAACTAAATATTTTAGATATTAAATTATGAGAAGATTAAAATGTACCTAATGAAATGAACACATTAGTTCATGAAACTTGGTACTTCACAAATAAAATATGTTGTTCCACTGTTTAAATGATTTTTTAATAGACCTATCCTGTTTTGATCTAGACTGTGAACTGATTGTCTATAATCTTCAGATATCTACAATTTGGGAAATAAGAGAAATGTTGTCTTGGAATTAATTTTAGAAGAATTTTGTTATTTTTAAATGTGTTAAGTTTGTGATCATACTTTGTGGTATATTTTATATTTAAGAGAATGGAAGACTGAAGATTTGGGAGGGGGACTACTTAACACCCATCTATACTGAGAAAACTAAGTATGACTTTGAGGTGACAAAGCAGTGGCTAGAGCAGTTATGGTAGGAAGAATTATGTTTAAACTGCTCCTCTTCAATACACATGAAAATGCAAGAGTGCCCTTCATCAACCAAGCAGATAAAAAGCATCTTCAAAATATTCTTGGGCCAGGTCTTTTTGACTAACAATGCATCTCAAAGGGGTTTTGTGTACACTGTCTTACTGTTTCATAATCTAAATTTCTGAAAGTGTCTTCTTCAAAAAAAATGAAATGAGAAAATATCACAAGAGAGACCATTTAACGCCGCAGAGATGCCTACGGAAATTCCCATTGTTGAAAAAGACCATTGAAAATTGTGGGTGCTATTTTGGGAAATTTCTTACCTAAAGTACTACAAAACAAACCAAGAACTAAGATAGAAAACAAAAGCTCTGGAAATCAGTAGTTTTACATCCTTAAACTAATTTTTTTGATTTATTATTATTAAGTATGTAACATTTTTGTAAACTTCACACATTTCAACTGTCAAAAATCATACATGAAGGCACAATTGTATTTCATGACCCCCAAAAACCCTAAAATCAGAGTAATTTTAATTTTACCCTTATCTGCCTAGCATGCTTGTATGAGCACATTGTACAAATCTGATGATTTTCTTTTTTTAACTAAAATGTTGCAGTAATGCAATTAGAACTTCAAGTTCCTTTCTATAACATTATAAAATGTGTCAGCATGTGCATTTCAAAAATTTGAGAATGTTATTTTATATAAATTTCCTTTAAAACTATACAATAGTAGGCTATAATGAAATTTTTTAAAGAAATAATTCAGGCAGATAAGGGATACTCGTTTCCAGAATTTGATACTTATAATGACAGCTATCAATTGTCAAAATTATTTTCAATATTTTATATGGGAATTAAGAGTCACCAAAAAATTAGTGTACCAATTTTAAGTTAAAATTTTGGAAAAAAGAACACTTACACTGAAAGTTTTCCAAACATGCAAAAACATTTTGTAATTGTAATAAAATACTTTTAATGTTAGATGTTAATACATTCGTAAATAATTTTTTCTACTATCGTATAAATTGAGGAATTTGTTGTACCATCATACATGCATGATGTCATTAAAAGACATTTAAAGACATCTCGAAATTGTGACATCACTGTGCAAAGAAGACCTTTTGATACTATGTCACATTACAGAGCTAATTTTAAAAAGAAATAAACATTTTCACATGATGGCATTTTTTTTTTTTAAAAAGAGAGGAGACAAAACAAATAATTATTCATAACAGAAGCATCTTTGTACAATCACAGAAAAACCTTGATTTACATTTTATAAGAGAAATTTTTGTTTCTTGCAACAATGTCAATTGCTTTTTGATTCAACCTATTGATTTGGCAAAAAAATCTTCAATCTTCACCATGCAAAGAACAATCATTTCACATGTTTAATATAAAAACAAGTACTTTGAGCACTAAGTTATTTTTTTTAAATATATATCTAAGTTTTTTTGGATAAAGTAAAAGAAATTATGACTTTTCCTAAACAAAGACTTTAAAGTAATATGTTGAATGAAAAAAAGGAAGTTACTAGTTATCCTGCTCATAAATAACCCTTAAAATGTTTTATTACAGACCAATTTTGGAATTTATGAACAATTATTGAAAGTGGTTTGAAAATAGTTTAGACAAGTGTTATTGAAAAATATTGTATTGAAATTTGTTTGTCAGTTATAATAAAGTAACAGGAAAAAGTGTCATCATGTACCTTGCCATTAAATCACAATTTCTTAGAAATTTCAGAAACTTAAAATAAAGTGAAATGTTTTTAAAAACTCTTAATGTGTATTTGATTTCACATCTATTCTAAAAGCAACCATATAATAACATTAAATAGTTTATTTTAAATCTTGACCTTGAGACAAAATAGTGATTGTTAAGGGCTAGGCTTGCACATGCTAAGTGAAAGTACTACATTCATAATTATGATGACAAAGAACATTTCAAAATGAAATGTAATAGAGTCAGCTTGGAGGAAAGGAGTTTTACCAAGAAGTCAAAGAAGGCATTCTTCAGAATTTGTGAAATACTGTCAGCAAACATTTCCCGCCTAAAACAACAGTGCTGGGATTTCTAATATAGATTTTAATCTATGTCTATTACGTATATTTGATTGTCAAACACTTTCGATTTAAATTACTGATGTAAGCATGCCTAGCATCACAGATTTATGACAGAGCATTTGATATGTCTGAATAGAGAAATGCTTTTGCAATTTATTGAATAGAAGAAAAAAATTTTTGGAAAGGGAAAGAGTAACGGAGAAAGCCACGTAGAACAAACTAAGAAACATGAATAATTTATAATTCTTATTGATATTGTTTTTAAATGTTTTCAAAGTGGTATGGATGTGATCAGCAATATCACTTCAAATAGTTTGTATTTAAACTTATTAGCAGAAAAATTATATGTTAAGAATTTATCATCATCTTCATTTTATACTACACATGCATCGGTACCATGTGGTGTAAGTTATTTAGAATGACTGCTGGCATTACTACATACACTGTATTTACCCAAATATAAGACATATTTTTCAATAAATATCTCTTTTGAAAAATGTGGAGTCATCTTATATTCGCAGAACAAGACTAGCTTGTTTGAATCTTTTGACACTGTCTTTTCTTGTCAAGAAATACAAATGCTGACACTACAAGCTTTGGGTGATGTATATCATGCATATTCGCAAATGTATTGTTGGCATCCAACACCAGTTTGCCAGGTTTGCAAATGAATCCTATGTATTTAAAGTGAAAAGCAACACAAGTGAGCATTACGAAAGAGAATGTTCATAGGTAGCATCGGATGAGTTTCGAGATGCAAATTCAATGCATGAAACTTTCAGGTAGGGCTAGACAGTCAGAGGTTGATGCAGTATATGAGAAGGTCCAAAAAGAAAGAAACAGTGATAAATGTCATGATGTAGATGATAGTGACCAAAACAATACAATGATTTTAACAAGCAAAAAAATTGTGATAGCTCAGACAATACATAACAACATTGCCATAAAGGCAATTTTGTACTCAATTGGACAATTTACAATTTTTTTATGACTTAATAGAAATAATTTGTTAAAAAACAAAAACATTCTCAAAAATCATAGGGTAGGCTTTCTCAAAAATCATAGGGTTGTCTTTAATTCAGTCATCTTATATTCAGGTAAATATATTACCAGCGGTGCACTCAGTGGGTGGATAGGAGGGGGAAGTATAGAGTCTAGCCAACTTGGATGATTTCTATACAAGAACTTTTCCTTTATGCTGACTATAGGATGTATTTTAATTTGTTGACTTAAAGTCAATCTTTTTATAGTAAACAATTGATTCATTGAATATTTTTTGTTAGGATAGAAAATTAACAAAAGCAATATTTTTTAATATGAGCCATTTTCTGACAGGGGGGATCTTAAACCCTATGACCCCTCCCCCTCCTGGGGATGCCACTGGATGTTACTGGTGAGTATTATGTGCTTTTAATTTTCTCTGATTTTCATTGGATTACAATTAATAATCTCAGAAGGAATTAGCAGATATACTTCAAAATACTTTAAGGCATTAAACAATTTGAAGTAATTTTGCTTGCAGATATGCCACTTTTTTTACTAACTTTGCACTTGGCTATTTCAGCTTAATCGGTTGCTCAAGCAGCAGGATAATAAGTTTACTTTTTCTCTACTCTTCAAAAAGGGAGAAGGAAAAATAATAATTTGCCTACCTCCCAAATGAAAACAAATCCATTACTCCAGAACATGAAAACTCCATTAACAATTTTTTTCATAAATAGGAAATGCTCTTATTCTTTAATTATTCTATTTCTCAATAACAATGTTAGCAGTCAGTTAAGGTACTATTAAGTTAACATTTTTACACTAATTACAATTGTAAATGTGTGTATCAGAAATATTTGAAGAACATGCATGAAAACAACTTAAATAGAACTTTTGGCGTGGATGTGCTGATATAAAATGTACATTCATAAATATAATTTGAAGTAGATATTTAAAATACACCATTTTCAGGAAATATTTCTTCTGAACATTTTTCATATATTAATACTGTTAATACCCTTCATGAGGTTTTGCTATATTGCTTTAAACTTACAATTAAAATAGAAGCTATATTACCAACTACACGTTTATAACAAGATCACATTTTGAAAGAGCAAAAATAACAGATTCTGAAACTGTTATTGGCTAAGGGAAGACACAGTGATGTATGAAATGAATGATATACAGATGGATTTATAAGATTATGAGAAAGATTCCTTGGTATGTTAAATAGTGAACTAGATATCTCTTGATAAACAACTTTTTGAATTGAGAATAATTTATAAAAACATTATTTCAAGAAAAATAAATAAGTTAATTTCTTTAGTTTGTAATTTGTAGAAAGGAACTCTCAAAAGAGAGGAAATGAATTTTTCTTAGTGTTCTACTTTTAGTGATGTAATAATATAGGCTTTCATCTTTTTCTCTTGTAGTTAGTATCTTACAAATAGATAAATTCGAATAATTTTTTTTCTTTTTCAAAAAAATAGGAAAACATTATTACGATCAACAGGGATCTTCCAATATTTGTTATGATTCAACATTATAAATTTTCATTAGTTTTCCTTTCATCGCTTTGGCCTTGCAATTGGCTCTACATACTCTTCCATACCATTGTTTTGACTTTGAATATCAACATTTTTTATTTGCAGACTTGGAAGTAAATGTTTACATATGGAAACTATTTGAAAGAGAAAATTTTTTATCAGCATTCACCTTTCAGTGACAAACTTGCTTCCAAACATCACATTACATCAAGAAATATCCAAGATGTAGAGCTCACAATAATATTATGTTAACTTCAAATTTACTAACAATACCCGTTACGCATCATACAAGACTAGGAGACATACAGTATTAATATGCATATCAATACACTGAACATACACATTCTGGCACATAGTTGGTGTTGAGCTAATGTTTGGTCTACATTTCATATTTCTACATAGCAATAAAATTCAGAAAGGTTTATACTTGTTTTTGTTCCATTAAATATAGGTAGGTAAAATGTATTGACAATGAATAAATTCTATGTCAAATGTAGGTGATTATCACTCACAAGTTTCATCACAACCAGGTCTCCTTGGGAACGACTGCAGCTATTTTGACGTATTGACACATTTAAGGAGTTCCATATTTTAACATCTACTTTAGTTACTGTTTCAGGTGCATTTACCCTTCAACATCATTTTATATACTTAACAAAACTTAACATGGGGATCCTATGTACATGTTCTGAGGATATCTTGTAACTAATGGCCATTTACACAGTAATTATCTTACATGCTTTTCTGTACAGTATTGCTACCAATTCTGTCAGTTAAGTTGTGTATGGAGTGGGGAGCTCACAACCATTTGCACAAAGTCTTCCTTAATATTTTTAACAATTGTTGAGCAATACAAATTATAGCAACTATTTATAAGCAATCTACAGCTTACTACAATTAAACTAATGTACATTTATTTCCTGTCAAAATGAAAATATTTGTTATACTCTGACTAATAAAAGAAAGGCAGCAAAGATCAGTGTTTTGTACATTGCTTACAATCCGAACGTTATGTATCTCTCTCACTAATTGGTAATCACAGAAAGACATTTAATAAACTGAATTATTTCACTGCAACTTTTAATATAGTTCTAGAAAACTGTGGTTTTGGGTAGCAGACGACAAATTATTAAAATAATCAAGCTTGAAAAATCTCTTAATTTAAAATTAAAATTTTAATGGTAACGAATGTTTTATAAAAGAAAATTTCTTCTGTTGAACATATTTCATATAAGCCACTAGAAATCATTATAAAACAAATGAACAACTCTTTTCCATGAAATTTCATTAACACATTACATAGGACCTTAGCATTGTATTTTGCTTCTGTGTATGTTATTCTTAAAATATTTTTAATTTTTTTTTCATGTGGCAAAATGTAAAAGAGCATGTTCAAAAGGTGAGAATGTCTGTTGAGAGACAATTGAACTTCCCATTAGTGAAATCCATCCAGATTTGGACTTCTTATACCCTAAGAGCGAGATGAGGACTGCGAAGAAAGAGGTAATTGCGCTAGAGCGGATGAACTTAATCGTGAAGTACGAGGCTCAATTTCCAAAGACATTCGATAGAGCTCATCATCGTCAAGAAGAAGGGAGGGATCTAAAAGGTAGTTTGTCACTTTTTGAATAAGTTCAATTTTATAAGGAGTCTGTTGAAAATGGCGTATTTCTCGAATTACATGAGCAATCTGTAACAGAATGAGAATCAGGGCAAAACCTTAATCTAAATGGTAAAATCATTCCTTAACACTGCAACTGCACACTTAGTTTTTGTTACATAAACAGCACACTAGAGTCTCATGGACCCCAAAGATTTTTATTGATAAAAAAGGTTCAGAAAAAATTGTATACGATTTGAAAGGGGGTTACTGTATTTTTTTAAAAAGAATGTATAGAAACAAGAAAAAACATAAAAATGAAATTTAAAAAGTAAAATTCATTGTATTTTTTTAATGTAGATTCTTTTTCAGGTTTTTAACAGGATGATTGCAAATATACATTGTAATCACTGAAACAATAATACAGAGGAAACAAAAATGGTCTGAATTCTCAGTGTTACTTCGGAGAAGCATTTTGAGAAGAATACTATTTCTCTTTTATTATTAGTGTACAGAACAATCAGAAATTACATACTGGGTTCCATTAGATCCCGGATGCATCAGTGATGAATTAACGCCCATTCCAACGAAGTACTGCCACCAATTGAGACTGTAAGTAGTATGAGCCAAGCTAACGGTTTAATTCAAATTTGCATAAAGTGCTAGTGCTGTCGTAAGAAATTTCAACTCCGTGTGAATTTGAAATGTTGTTGTGGTTCAGTAGACCCCAGTGTGTGGTTCTAGGGTTAAGTAGTTTTTTCGGGAATTTATCTTACCATGCGCATTTTGGAAAAATTGAGAAGTCCGTCTTCAGTGAAATTTGGAGTTCCCTCTTCAATGAACGACAAATCGGTCAAGTACATTCCCAAGTAAGGAATGCATGGAGGATCACATCGATGCAAGGCATCTCTCAAATTGCGAAATCGTCCATCAGATGACACTATATTTTGTAGCTTTTCAATAGTTTGCTTTGTCTGTAAAATAAAAAGAAGTTCTGTTTTTCTTACCTAAGTCAGTTTTTAATTCTCGGTCGGACAGCAATCTGGGGAAAAATGCTAAGCCCCAAAAGTTGATTTTTATTTTCTACGTACGATTTACTAACGTACGAAGATAAAATATTGTAATCCTGCGCTGGAAAACGGCGAATTTTCGACACAAAAACTTATTACCAGACCCAGGTAAGGAAAAAGTGGATAAATTCAGTTTCTAAATTAAGAATAATCCTCTAACACGTGGTGTAGCCAGAATCCATGATTTGTGGCTCCTTGACACCGATAAATCAATCGACAGCAAAACGTCCGTCTGTCCGTGCCCAACGCTAGGGCATAAACAGTTCAGCCGATTTTATCCAAAATAGATATTCCTCAATCATTCTAGTTGATATGGCGGCCCCTGGAATTTTAAACCGAAATATACATTTTGGGGAGTACTTTACATGAAGCCCCTGAGACATTTTTAAATTAAAAAAATGGCTTCACATTTTTTTTATTAAATTTTGTTGTTGAATAGTGTTTAAGAGAATGGCACAGGTCTCATTATCGGTGACATACCCGATTTTTCGAAAATGGAAAAAAAATTAAAACTTCAAAATTGGAGATAGAGATTTTTGTCTTACACAAAGTCGGTTGTACAAAATCAACTCTTCAAAAAGGGTCATGTACACTTTTTAAAACTCGTGGAGCTACAGAATGGCACAGACTTTCACGTATTAGTTTTCTATTAATTGGTCTCGGACTTACCACATACTCTTGCCACCTGCCATCTATCGTTCCCAAAGTACATTTTTTTTACAAAAAAAAATTAATTTTTCGACTTCCTAATAGTAGAATCGACTTATTACTTTAAGAATATTAAAGAAATGTAAAACCTAAAAGGTCTAAAGATAAAAACCTAAAGGGCAATTTTTATTGAAAATATTGGAGCCTTTTTTAAGAAAATGTCATTTAAACGCTACTGTAAATTCGAAATTTGAACTTACTTTCACAGAAAACTGTTGAGTTTTTGAAAAAATTAATATGGCGTAATTTCAAGATCTTCAAGTCACAAATGCAATAGTATTTACAAATTGCTAGAAATGTGCATATGAAAGGCATGCGCATAAACATCTTTAAAAAATTACATTTGTGTAATTTAAAAAAACATGAATACAGCAAAATTAATTCTATGTCAACTTAAACAGTGGAATTAGCAGTATCTGCTGGAAAAGTTGGAAGAAAGAAGTTGGAGCTGTTTTTGAGAAAACGGCGTTTGAGCGTTTCTGCAATTACGGAATTTTGAGTTTATTTTCACCGACTACTATTGAGTTTTCAGGAAACTTTATCGGACATTATTTAAAGCATATATACCCATAAATACATTAATGTAAAGAAATCGCCGCTAATGAAAATATTAGCGAGAGACGAGTCAAAAAAATTACATTTTTGTAATTTTTTAAAAAACCAAAAAATAGAGCAATATGGCGTATATGTCATCTTATAGAGTACATTTAGCACAATACCCCATCAAAAGGTAAAGTAAAAATTTGGAGCTGGTTCCGAGAAAGTCTTGTTTTTGTATTTTTTTAAAATTGCACATATTGGGCAGCTCGCAATATTGTGCGAAAACTACTAAAATATTTTTAAAATGTACATGACTTTAATGAAAGAACTCACTATCTAGAACAAATAGCATTTGAAAGATCTTTAATTTTCTAGTTCCGAATCTGAAAGAAGACGCACGAAAAATTTAAAAATTTTCGAAAATTCAGAGTTAAACCTGAAAATCTGACTATCCACCTTTATAAATATATTTTACTCTATTCTTGTAAGAAATTTAAAGAAAAATACTTGGAACTGTTTTTGAGAAAATTTTGAAGACGCTCAGAGGGCTTTATGTAAATCCCAATTTGAAAGATATTTTTTCAAAATCTCAAAGATTGTACTTGAGCCAGATCTACACGGGATTATTCAATTTGGAAAAAACCTATGCATGGTTTAGGCGCTAGTAGTCGTCACTGACACAAGTCGGATGGAAGGACAGACGGATGTTTAAGAAAACAACACTTTTTGGGAATGAGGGGACTCTAAAACGTGTATTTCCGTTGAAATCACGAAATCGATTTTTGGCAGCATTACATAATTTTCCCTATACTCCGTATATGGGAAAGTAAAAACGACTAATTTTTGCTTATTTTAAGATTGAAATTTACAACAACAAAACCAGCTCCAAATAAAAATATGGTGGTAGTCATATTTTCGGTTAATGCTTGTTTTCTGGAAATAAAAATAATTATAAAACTACAAAATTGAAGATAAAAATGTTTGCCTTATAAAAAGTCTGCTAAACAATATTAGCTCTTAAAAAAAGACCAGAAACAATTTTTTGAATATACGAGTAGTTTTCGCGTATTTTGCGATTGAAATTTTGCGATTACAAAAAAATACCAATCTCAAAATCCACTTGAATTTTTTTTCACATTTTCCACACATATAATAAGGAACGGTAAAAATATAGCGCTAGTCTTATTCTCGAGATTTGCTCGCATTTTTCGAAAACGACAACAAAAAAATTCAAAACTACAAAATTGAAGATAGAGATTTTTGCTTCAGACAAAGTGTGTTGTAAAAAAATTAGCTCTTTAAAAATGGTCATGTAGTTTTTTGCGTTATTTTTGGTTGAAATTAATGAAATATATACAGGTTTCCGACCATCTAGGACTATGAGAGAAATTGAATGAATGAACATTGACATTCATGTATTCTTTAATGTCTCTTGATGAGTTTCTTTTAAGCATCGACGTCCTCATACGTAGGCTCAATGGGCCTAGAGGCAATGTAGACTAGAGATGGAGTTATTTTAGACTGCCTTGCTAGAGACTTCATCAGGTACAGATTCCTCATCTGAGAGTGAACTAAAATCACTATTGGTTGCGTAGGCTTCCGCGGCCGGAGTTTGTATTATCTAGACTATCCGGAACGAGCCGCGTCACTGACTTGGTGGCCAACGTTGCGGCCAGCCTTCCTCAGAGCGTACTCAGCAGTAAGAAAATGTGTGCCCATTGTTGGCAGCGCCCATAGCTGCATACGCGTTTTTTTGCTATCGCTCATTGAATGAGATGTGCTGATATAGACAGGAATGCGATATAATATTATTTACACAACCGTTACTAAGGGGCGCTAAAGTATGTGCTGCTTTAGCACCACTAGTTAATTAAGTCTTGCTAACGGTCCACTCGTATGCAACTGTTTATTAAATAATGTATAATCATCCAGTAAAATCCATCAAAGAGGAAACGATGGTAGTTCAGTGCTACATCATGCTAATTAGGTGCCGACCAGTCAATCCAACAAATTGCATCGTGCGGAGGCAAGTTGACCAACAGAAATGTTTTGTCGGGCGGTTGGTTGGCCCTGACCTCTCGACCGCCGATTTCCCCACTAAACTACTGCTAGACAATTTGTGTATACCAGTGCGTGGAAGTGTTGGGCCAACTTGCAGTGATTACAGACCTAAAAACGCTCGTTCAAATGTGAAACAGTTGTTTAATTGGAAAGATCTCTGGTACTTGAGGTTTTGGAGGTCGCTGATTGCGAATAAGAAGTTGAAAATTTCAAGAAATAAAATTACGGATGAAATTTGGCAGAAAAGTAAGTAAAACATCAAATGCAAATTTCTTTTCGAAATCGGTAATGTAAGTGAATTTTGACAATAATTATGAGAATGCAACAAAGCAACAAAAAGAAGTCTTTCCTTTTATGTATAAATTGTAGACATACATATAATATCATAAGAAAATCATTACTAAACAGTTTAAAAACTCCTTCATTCAAACACGTGCCAGCAATGCAGCTGCAGAGAGATGTAGCAACTTTTGTGATTTTGAAAGGTAATATGTAGTATATAATAGAAAATTGCAATATGACAGTAGAATTATATACTACAAGCTGAAGTATCTGGCATTACCCGGTCATTTATTACAGTAAATTATTAGCCAGAAAGAGGAATTCCATTATTTCATGCCTAGGGCGGGGGGGCTCGGGCTCTGTAGTAGTTCTATCCCATTGTCTCCTAGCTCCGCCGTGCCCCGCTCAGCTAGCCGTCTTGTATTGCACCCTATTTGGAAATTTCCAGTCTACATCGGTCACTTTCCTACTAAAAGAATTTTACATTTTTCTTATTGGGAGTACCAGCCCCTAAACTTTCCTTGCTTTATAACTAAAAACAATAAACAAATCTATACTACAAATAAAAATATTTGTAGACTTGCGTATATACGTTTTGTGGAGTTTTATATGTTATACCAATACTTTTTTCATTTAAGGTCGGAAAAAAATCCTTCGTACGCCTTCCTTCGGAGGGGAAGTAAAGCCGGCTGTCCCATGTTAGTAGATTTACTTGTAAGTAAAAGATCCTCAAGCCTAAATGACGCTTCTGAGCTAAATTCAATTAGCCTATTTCTCGCCCAAGAAATACCTCCTTTCTCTGCTAGTTGGTGTAGCGAAATTTGCGTGGTCAGACGGAAGAGCAGGCCTCATGGCCTGAGTCTCGCGACGTAAAATAAGGCATTAATTCAATTCAATTCAAGACAGGCGGGGTGAGGAAGAGCGCGTCTGGCATCTGCGGCAAGCGCGGAGGGGGTAGTCGTGACGTCATGCCTCCCCCCCCCCCCCGGGAGACGTCGGGCAACTGGCCACGCAGCCCTTTTTGCAAAAGACGTCCACGTGTTCGGACGAGTGCCCAGAGCGAAGTCGGTGAAGGAAGAGCCTAGCCATTTTGCTAAGAGTGCGAGTAAGAATAGCTAGTTATTCACAAGTAAGCTGTAGAGCGGCGAGATGTCAATGGGTGGTATGAATAAAAGTAAGCAAGTACTCTTTGCTCCGAGTTTCCGAGATCTTACTCAGTTTCGTATGAATAAAGTGGTCAGCAATTGCTCAATCTCTGAGTACTTGCTTCAGCTCTGAGCGTACTCTCAACTGGCGAGCAAATACTCAGAATT